GGGAAGGGGCAGGCCAGGCAGGAGGGCGCCGTCCCTGGAGACTCAGGCGTTTTTTGTTTGTTTTTTATCTTTGAGACATTTTTTCCTATGGGGCAGGTAGGAGAGATAGGCAGGCTGAAGGTGAGAAATCACCCCCGGGGGATGTCCTCGCCCAATCCTGTCTCCACCCTCCTGGGATCCTGGGATGCAGGCACACCGTCCCTAGTCGGGGACTCCACCTGTGCCCGACTAGTGGGAGTTCAGCGATGTAACCATTATGCCATGTGGTCCTTGTTATCTTTATTTTAACGAGAGAGAGGGAGGGAAGTTGAGAAAGCAAGCTGCCAGATCCAGGATTCAAACCGTGGTCAGCCATGAGGGAGTGCAGCGCCTTAACTGCCACGCCACCTGCCGATTCCTGAGCTGTTAGAATTGTGATCTTGCTGCGAACCTGTCAGGTCCAAGGAGAGGTGCTCATTTAGGGCCCCTAACCCCTGCCTTGAAGATCAGAGCCGAAGGTCTACTGGGAGGGGAAGCGCCAGAGTCACGCCCTCGCTCTCCCTTCCCAACTCCCCGACTCGGAGCTGAGCTGGGCAGCCGTCTCCTGCAGGGCGGGCCAGGCTTTGGGCTCCCTACTTCATCCCATCCGGGCCGGCTCAGAGCAGAGGAGTGGGTGGCAGCCAGCTCCCTTTGGTCCTGAGGTCACACCCGTCCCTCTGCTCACTGCGAGGTGTCCCGTCACTGGGAAGGAAGGGGCCCTCAGGGCAGCAACCCCGGGCTTGTTTCCACCCGGCTGCCGCCTGTAGGCATCAGCTGGGTGGAAGAGTGGCCGGCCTTACAGTGTCCCTCCCTGTCATCAGAAAAGCCCGAGGGTGTGGTTGCAAAGCAGGCACTGTGGTGTGGAAGGATCTCTGAAAGTTTGCGGAAATAGGATTAAAACTTGAGTGTAAAAGTTTTAAAATCCTGGAGCCAGCAGGTGGTATGGTGGCTAAGATTCAAGGCTTGAAAATCATGCTGGCTGTGTGTGCATGCCCAGGGTCCCAGGAGGAGAATGGAGAAGGGACTGCAGCCTGGCCATCCCCCCAGGGGTGACGTCTCACTCTCCCTCTCTGTCTCTCTTTGGTGAATACACATGCCCTATGGCAAAACCCTAAACAAGATGGAAGTTCTGAAACCCGCACGTAGTTTTTCTCCGCGCATCCTGTGTGAACTTTGGGAAGGCCCTTGGTACGTGTGTGTGGTGTTGCCGTGTGTCCCCGGCTGGTTGCCATGTCCCCATACCAGCTGCACCTCTGTCTTTCAGCTGGGACGGTGCCGGAGTGTCAAGGAGTTTGAGAAGCTGAACCGGATTGGGGAGGGCACCTACGGCATCGTATGTGAGTGTCCGTGGCTGTCACAGCAGCTGTGTTGAGACCTGGGGATGGTCCGCTCCCCTGCTTGGCCCCACGTCTGGACACACCTGAGTGGCTGGTTGCAAGGGTCAGCTCTGTCATCCAGGTGTGGAGCCTGCGTGGGGGCACGTAGGACTCTAGCCACAGAAGAGCCCCGAGCAGCTGTGACAGTGGCATGAGTCACTCTGGAAGCGCACAGAGCTCTCTGGAGCCGTCTGCGTACATGAGGGTTACCCGGGAGGCCCCATGCTGGCTGGCCGTTAGCACACAGGGGCAGTGGGTGCATACAGCGCGTCACACGACTGAGTTTGTGCCAGGGCACAAACCCGGGCACCCTACCCTGCTGGGAGGAGAAGCAGCCTTGGAGCACATCTTGGGCTTGGGGTCTTATGAGGACTGAGTGTCACTGGGCCTCCGGTCAGCGGCAAAGGGAGTGGGGGCTTATGCTTAGGAAGGGCTGCGAGCGCGCGAGCTTGCGGGGTCAGGGTTAGACCCGCCATTTACGTTTCCGTCCCAGATCGGGCAAGGGACACCCAGACGGGCGAGATCGTCGCCCTGAAGAAAGTGCGCATGGACCAGGAGAAGGACGGTGAGCAGCCAGGCGCAGGTGGACCTGGAGTGGGAGGGTCACGAGGGTCTCCTCAGGGCTGAGCCCCACGAGCACCTGCTGTGGCCCAGGCTGTCATCCCCCGCTGTGCCAGGGCTCCACCTTCTCAGTGCCCTTTCAGCCCAGAGTGGCACGGCGTGTCGGGAGCGGGGGGTGGGTGGCCGTCCCTGAGCCTTGGCTGGCGGGAGCCCTGAGTGCAGGCGTGCCACTGAGGCTCCTTGCAGGCCTCCCCATCAGCAGCCTGCGTGAGATCACCCTGCTCCTTCGCCTTTGCCACCCCAACATCGTGGAGCTGAAGGAGGTCGTCGTGGGCAACCATCTGGAGAGGTGTGCAGGCTGCTGGCCTCTGTTCCCGCTGTCCCCTTCCCCGTGTGGCCCCCTCTGGTCCTGGTGCCCTTCCTGGCATAAAGGAGGGCCCCTTTGCCACCCGGGGGAAGGCAGGAGGTGGCATGGTCGGCGCCTTGTTCCCTTCAGCATCTTCCTGGTGATGGGTTACTGTGAGCAGGACCTGGCCAGCCTCCTGGAGAACATGCCGACGCCCTTCTCGGAGGCCCAGGTCTGTGGCTGAGGGCCCTGGGGTGGGTGGGGGTGTGCGTGTACTAAACATGACTGCCTGGGGCTGGGTGGAGCCCTGCTGCCTCCTGGAGCCTTTGCTGGGCTTTGGCCAGGCGTGGGCCTGTCCTTGGGCTCTGCACCTGCAGCTCTGCTCAGGATGGCCCTGGGCAGGGGCCATAGTGGTGCCCTCCCAGCCACGAGGCAGGCTTGGTGCCGGGTCCCGGGCAGCTGTGTCCCTGCTGGTCCTGCCAGCCGGGCCGGGGCGGCGGTGTCCCTGCTGTCCCTGCCAGCCGGTGTGGCTGTGGCGGGCCAGCTAGGGCTGACCTCTGGCCTTGTGCAGGTCAAGTGCATTGTGCTGCAGGTGCTCCGGGGCCTCCAGTACCTGCACAGGAACTTCATCATCCACAGGTGGGTGGGCCCTGCAGGCAGTGCGGGGGCCCCACAGCATTA